CACCCGTCCGCAGGCGTTCTGGGTCACCCGTCCACAGGCGTTCTGGGCCACCTGTCCAAAGGTGTTCTGGGTCACCCATCCATAGGCGTTCTGGGTCACCCTTCCACAAGTGTTCTGGGCCACCTGTCCATAGGCATTCTGGGTCACTCATCCGCAGGCGTTCTGGGTCACTCGTCCGCAGGCGTTCTGGGTCACTCGTCCGCAGGCATTCTGGGCCAACGTCCGCAGACATTCTGGTTCACCCGTCCACAGGCGTTCTGAGCCACCCGTCCACAGGCGTTCTGGGCCACCGTCCACAGGCGTTCTGGGCCACCCGTCCACAGGCGTTCTGGGCCACCGTCCACAGGCATTCTGCGCCACCCGTCCACAGGCGTTCTGGGTCACCCGTCCACAGGCATTCTGGGTCATCCGTCCACAGGCGTTCTGAGTCACTCGTCCACAGGCGTTCTGGGTCACCCGTCCACAGGCGTTCTGGGTCACCCGTCCACAAACGTTCTGGGGCACTTGTCCACAGGTGTTCTGGGCCACCCGTCCACAAACGTTCTGGGGCACCCGTCCACAGGTATTCTGGGCCACCGTCCACATGCGTTCTGGGCCACCGTCCACATGCATTCTGGGCCACCTGTCCACAGGCGTTCACAAGCGTTCTGGGACACCTGCCCACAAGTGTCCTGGGTCATCCCTCCACAAGTGTTCTGGGCCACCCATCTACAGGCATTCTTGGCTGCGCATCCACAGGCATTTTGACCCATTCCTCATGATCAAACTGTTCCAGCAGATAAATTACCTTATAGGAAAGAAAAATTGTTGTTTTCGAAGTCCGGCACCAGAATGTGAGGCGTTCAACCAGGAAAATGTTTCTCAAGAAGGAGTATACTGATAAGCCAAACAACAACTTCTTATATGTTGTGCTTGTATAAAGATCCTTATGTAAGTAGGGAGGTATAAAAGAGAGGTCAGAGTAAGTCATTGGGGGATTTTTATTTCGATCTTGGTGGTGTTCAGAGTTCCACAGTATTTCACAATAAACCCCTACTTTGCTCTCAACACAAGTGTCAAATTGTTTTATTTAATGATTGAAGTTCAATGTAGAAACCACTACACAGCTGTGTCAGGTTTTAAGGCTCCTTCTCCAGATGTTTTTGGCTCCTTCCACAGATGTTCAACAGGATTTAGATTAGGGCTGAAAAGGCCAGTTCAAAACTGTCCAATGTTTAGTTTTGATCCATTCTTGAGTGTTTTGGGTCTTTATCCTGTTGGAGGACTTAATAACCTACAAGTCAGACTAGAATGGGTGGATTCTATGGATGGGTGACCCAGAACACCTTTGGACAGATGGCCCAGAACGCCTGTGGACGGGTGATCCAGAACGCCTGTAGACGGTGGCCCAGAAAGCCTGTGGATGAGAGACCCAGAACGCCTGTGGATGGGTGACCCAGAGCGCCTGTGGACGGGTGACCCAGAACGCCTGTAGACAGGTGGCCCAGAACACCTGTGGACAGTGGCCCAGAACGCCTGTGGACAGGTGACCCAGAACGCCTGCGGACGGGTGACCCAGAACGCCTGTGGACAGTGGCCCAGAATGCCTGTGGACTAGATTTAGAGGAACTGATCCTCATCCTGGCCGTGTCACACTCGGCTGCGAACAGCTCTAGTGAAAGTTGTAGATCACGACCTGATGAAGCCAATAGGACCATATCATCTGCAAAAAGCAGAGACGCGATGCTAAGGTTACCAAAATGGATTCCCTCAACACCTTGGCTGCACTTAGAAATTCTGTCCATAAAAGTCATGAACATAATAGGTGACAAAGGGCAACCTTGGCGGAGTCCAGCTCTCACCGGGAACAAGCCCGACTTATTGCCAGCAATGCAGACCAGCTCTGACACCGGCCATACAAGGACCTAACAGCCCATATCAAAGAGACTGGTACCCCATATTTTCGGAGTACCTCCCACAGGGTTCACCAAGGGACCCAGTTTGAATGCCTTCTCCAAGTCCACAAAGCACATGTAGACTGGTTGGGCAAACCCCCACACACCCTCCAGGACTTTGCTAAGGATGTAGAGCTGGTCCAGTGTTCCAAGACCAGGACGAAAACTGCACAGCTCCTCCTGAATCCGAAGTTTGACTATCTGATGGACCTTCCTCTCCAGAACCCCCGAACAGACCTTACCAGGGAGGCTTAAAAGCATGATCCCCCTGTAGTTGGAACACACTCTACAGTCCCCCTTTTTGAATAGGTGGACCACCACCCCGGTCTGCCAATCCAGGGAAACTGCCCCTGATGTCCACAAAATATTGCAGTCGTGTAAGCCAACAAAACCCTACAACATCCAGAGCCTTAAGGAAATCCGGGCGAATCTCATCCACCCCTGGGGTCCTGCCACCAAGGCACTTTTTAACCACCTCAGCACCAGAGATTGGAGAGCCCGACCCAAATTCCTTAGGCTCCACTTCCTCAGTGGAAGACGTGCTGGTGGGATTGAGGAGGTCTTCGAAGTACTCTGCCCACCGACCTACGACATACAGAGTTGAAGTCAGCAGCACAGCACACAACCTCCACTATAAACAGTTTTGGTAGTGTACCTCTCCCCCAATCCCCAACAATCTGGAAATCACAATGTATGATTTTTAAAATAATTTATTTGTGCGTTACTGCGGCAAATAAGTATTTGAACACCAGTGAAAATCAATGTTAATATTTTGTACTGTAGTGAACTAGGCCTCGACCTCAACCTGTCTCTGAAGACCTTCATGGGACAGGAAATGTTATTTCATTGATTTGAATCCAGAAATACAAATTAGCTCATCCAAAGACTGTTAATTGTATCCTGAATTAATCAATTGAAAGAACACTCTTCTTTTTATGTTATCATTACTATTTTACAATATCTTGATAATCAAAAGTGTGTTTAGTTCATATCATTTCTAATGTTGAAAGTAAACTACTCATTTAAATCAACTGTGAAACAGTATTAATGATTTTTTAAACCTCATTAGACTTAGAAATCAAGATAAATGTCTATTTACAAAGTAATTATGCATTTTGATCTTCTGTCTGAATGAGAAGTCAGTGATGTCGGTCAAAAGTCAGAGACAGTCAGAAAAGAAGTTATTAGAACGAACTGTATCGTTTTTAAACCTAGCAGACGGTAAATAACTGCCACTGGCATCTACGTTCCTCTCACTTCTTCATAACATTTCTCTGTCTGTACTAAACGTTCCTAAACATTCCTGAACCCTCTCTTGACTTTTAATAACCCTCTGACATCACTAGAACCACCCCCTGTTGGTTGTTTCAATCAATCAGGAAGTACTAAGTGACCGGAAGTGAGGACTCTCTTAAAAGTCGACACTTCCTGGAACTATTCAGTCTTCTTCAGTCTTCTGAGGCTTGGAACAGTCGTGGACTGGAGAATTCATGGAGTCTGTGAGTATTCCACTTCAGAGTGGGAACTCTGA